TCTCTTTGTCTTTTTCTGTCCAGGTATAGAGCTGTTGCCTCCTGGAGTCGGGTTCAAGGAATTGGGATTCCCTTGATTACTGCCATTGAAATTGTCTCCGTCTGGATCCTCTCCTTTATCCTGGCCATCCCTGAAGCAATCGGCTTTGTCATGGTGCCCTTTGAATACAGGGGTGCACAACACAAAACCTGTATGCTCAATGCCACATCCAAGTTCATGGTGGTACTGATGGATTTTATAATTTACTAAATTTAAATTTTTTAATTTAAAAATTAAAAAGAATTGGTGGGGGGTGAGGGATCTTGATATTTCACCGTCTTGAACGTCTCCACAGTGCCAGGTGTGCTTTACTGTCAGTTCAGTCAAACATTCTCCAGATGCAGGGAAGGAGACATTAAACCAGTTTTAGAGTGAAAAAGGTGATGATTCCACTTCTTACTCTTGTACTGTAGCACAACTTCAGACACAACAGTTGTTCTACACCAAAGAATTCTGAAACTACTAAGAAAGAGGGACTAGATGTTTGTGTACACAATGCTATTTGTTTTGGCAATAAGGAACACAGTACAAGGTCTATCTGATAGACAGGAGGGTGCTTATTTTATGTTACAGTACACCCTCGAGTTACAAACAGCCCAACATAGGAACAACTGAAGTTATGACCGGAATTTTAGTTTTAACTTACAGCAAGTCTTGAGTTATGACCCAAATGCTGGCTAATTGTGCTTCTGATGGTCTCAGATACAGATTTAACCCTTAAAGAGTTCTGAAAGGAACATTACAACATCCTCTCCTGTGTTAGGGTTAATTGAGAAATCCTAGGCCACTGTCTCTCTAAGAACACTGAGATCTGCCTGTACACAGGAGAGAGACATTGAAGGCTGTGTAGAGGAACCTGAGGCTTCAATTGACCAACTTGAGTTACAACCAGCCCTCAGGAAAGAATTGAGTTTGTAAGTCAAGGGTCCACTATGTTTGTTTAGGGAGTAGTACTTACATCCGTCTATATTAATATGGATTCTAGATCTCATATACAAATAAGGTAAAATTTCAGAACTTTTTATAAGAGCATTTTAGTTTAGCAAACAGTTGTTCTTTAGTTCACCTAACCACATTAATGTTTCTCTGAGAAGCTTAAGGATATGCTGAGTATAATGGGAAACATGCTAAAAATGCATCCTTCCTTCACAAAACTAGTTACATGTGGGCTGAGGAGAAGCAAAAGGATATCTATTTCTCTTAAGTAAGCATAATTTAGTGCTTTGATGTAAGCATCATACAGCTCAGATTCCACGTTGAATTATTTACACACATCTCAAGGTATGCTTTCCCAAAACAGAAAATTCACAAAGTTTACGGTTTTGCAGTTAATCAATTATCTTGCTTGGAAATTCTTATTTTAAAATTAAGCTCGTGAAAACTGCCCACATGGCAAGCTTGATATTGAAGTCTTTTGTTTAGCTGCTGGCTTTTTAATTAAAAGTCAATATTCATAATGAAAAGCGAAAGTAGGCAGTTATCAGGATTTGGGCAGTGCAATCCACATTTCCAGAGAAAAACACTAGAGGAAAGAGGCTCAGTGTAAGAAGGTGCTTATTAACCACTGGAGCTGGACAAAATGAAA